AGTCATCTGGCGAGAACAGCCAAGCCTTTATCTCAAGGTTCCTCTGACACAGCCTGTCTACCACCATCACCAGAGTTTCACTCTAGTCTCCCTCAAGTCTTGCTGCCTATTCTCTCTTATCCTAGTCCTACAGCTGTTGATGATTTGCGAGTCTATCCATCCATACATGGATGTACAGTTAAGGTAGTTGGAAACCAGGGAGGCTAATGTGATGGCTAGGAAAGCCAAATTTTGAACTAACACCACAATAACTTAGGCTGTCATATTCATTGTTAGACCTGGATTTGTATTTTATATTCAAAGTGATTTATAGTTTTGAAACATTATAACCCTTCTGTTTACACTTTTACACAATGCTGAGCTTAATAGGTATCTCTGTTTTGTTTTTTTTTTTTAGTTTAGTTTACATTTGAAGTTGGGTTTTTTACACCAGTACATTTAAGAAATGTTCCCTATGACCTAGCACTAACCAAACAGAAAACAGTTTTGAAGTGAAGAAAGGCACTTGTGCCCTGTATAAACACTCAGAACATTTTATTGGCCAAGATACTCCTAAAACTACCAACAGTAATACTTGGTGCTGTGGCTTAACATTTCAAATGAGAAACATACAGATTTGTAACACTGATGAACATGAAATAATACAAGTAAAGATAAATACAAATAATTCAAATGAAAAGAAACCATTTCATTTCTATTCACATTCAAGTTTGGTTCACATTCTGTGCATTGGTAGACCTGCTTACCAAATCCTTTGGGAAGTGTGCTTATTTACTATTGTCTTAACAACACATATTATTTTCTAGCATTAGGGGTTTTTTTCCCCGCCTAGTAATAATGGAAAAAATGGTGGTGTGGAGAATTTCATCTCACAAAAGTGAGGACAAGAGGGAACTGAAGCCAGCCCAACAATCTCTTCTCTCTTATGAGATTTATTAAAATAAAATAAAATTACCAAATTGTAAAATATATGCATTCATTCACTTATAAGAGCCTTGGTTAGTGTGGAAGCAGAAAATTGTATGATAATTAAAACATCAAGACAGAGAATGTATTGTGGAGGATAAAAAGAGGACAAGGAAAATAAATAGTTCAAGAGTTTGCCCTGGTGATTTCTAAAGTATTTTTTTTTTAGTAGATTCATAGAAGGGTAGATCTGAAGAGGAACAAAAAGAGCCTATCCTTATTACCTATGGAGAACATGAGAGCCAAAGGAATGAAATGATATGTCTTAAATAGACACTTTAGTGATTGAGGCTAGTACACCCTATTCCTTGCCTTTCCCAGATTATTTGATTCTGATATGGGATCTGTTCCCTCTTCTATATTTTTCTCTAAAGAAAAAGAAAATATATGTAATGTCTTCGATAGTATGTATAAAAGTATATATTGTACCTTGTATCTAAGAAGTTGAAAAAGAAAAAGTTCTTAATTCTTTACCTTTTGTTGTTGTATGCTGTCAAGTAGGAACTGACTCAGAGCTGACCCTCCGGCTAGTTTTCAGAGGCAGTAAACCACAAGGGAGGAGATTGCCCATGTTTCTCCTGTACAGCAGCTGATGGGTTAAAACCTCATGCAACTTCTTACCACTAGGCCACCAGAGCACCTTCTACCAGATAAAATTAAACCAGATAGAGCAGCACATGATCTTCATTATGTCAGAAGTTCTTAAAGATAGAAATTTCATTTCTTTATAGCACATTTACATGTGATGATGATGATGATGTTGTTTTGTTTTTATGTGCCATCAAGTTGCCTGCGACTCATAGCTACCCTCTGTACAACAGCTCTGAAGCCTGCCCTGTCCTGAGCCAGTCTCGCCATCTCCAACACAGCTACCCCTATTTTCTCAGTTACTCGGTCAATCCATCTCATCTGTGGTCATCTTCTCCTGCACTGTCCCTCCACCCTTTCAAGCATAATGTTCTTCTAGAAGGATTGGTCCCTCCTGGCCACATGCCCAAAGTATGTGAGACAAAGCTTCCGAATCCTAGCCTCGTAAGAGAAACTTGGTTACACCCTCTCCAACACAGACCTGTTTGTTTTCTTGGAGGTTCATGGTATGACCAATACTCTGCTCCAGTATTACAACTCAAAGGCATTGTCCATTCTTCTTCTGTCATCCTTAGTCATTGTCCAGCTCTCTGATGCATTGCAAGTAATTGCAAAGACCATGGCCTGGATCAGGTGCACCTTAGTCTCTAGACTGCTACTGTTTCTTTTCAGTACACTGGAAAGGTCCCTAACAGCAGATTTTTCCAAGTGCATTCCATCTTTTGATTTCCTGACTGCTGGTGTTAAGAGTGTTGATTGTGTAGCCGAGCAAGCTATAACCGTTAACAACCTCAATCTCTTCTCCATCTGTTATGATGCTGACAGTTGGCCCAGTGGTGAGAATCTTTGTTTTCTTGATTTTGAACCTCAATCCATGTTGAAGACTACAGTTCTCGACGTGCTTCAGGTCCTCCTCAGTTTCAGCAAGCAAGGTTGTGCCATCTGCATAGCGTAGGTTGTTGATGAGTCTTCCTCCAGTCCTGATGCCACATACCCTTGTAGAATATGTGTACTTCAAATGTTTATTTACCAAGATGAAATAGGAATATTAATTGAACTTAAGACTTCTTTTCATTATTATAGAACTTTTGAAATTTTTTTCTATCTGTAATAGATTCATTTGTGCATATCCACTCAGTGGAATCAGATAATCTTCTTAAAGGTTCCATGCTTTTGCAGTCACTAGCTGGGTTTGTAAGTGTACCCCAACACAAGGTTGAGTTAATTGTCCAGGGTGCAAATCTATTTGGATCTGTTTATGTGTTGGCTGAGTTAAAACAAAAACGGTCAGAAACTAATGCATTTGACTATAAACATAGAAAAATATGGGAGCTCAAGTGGCCGAGTATTAAGAAGCTGCACTGCAATACCAAATGCATGGGATTCTAATCCACCACTTGCTCCTTCTCCAGGGATGGTTGTTGTGTGCCAGTGAGACTGGTCAAGTACTGGAACCTTCTAATAACATGCCCAAAGAATGTGAAACAAAACTCTTCATTCAAGGATTCTGATTCAGTAGACCTGGGGTGAGGCTCAAGATTGATTATTTTTTAAAATTTCTTGACTGATTGTGGTGTGGACCCCATGTATTCAGTTGAGAATACTAAAGGTAGGGACTGACCCTTGAATACTGCTAGAGAATAGGGAGTTTATACGACTGGAATCAAGCACTTAAAGTAAGCGTTGAGGGATATTTGTAAGGAGCTTTGCTCATTTTCATCATAAATGACCTTTTAAAAGTAACATCCCTCAGTAACTGTGCAGTAAACATTGGTGATGCTCTCTCTGTATCAGGCTCTTGCCTCTCTAACTTTTTGAATCAATGAATGAAAGCCTTCAGCTAACATTCATCAAAAACTGTTTTTGGTTTATGAGTTTTCAGGCCCCACTTGTCTTGCTCCAATGCTGTCCCCTGTTGCTCTATTTCTATAAGGTCATTAGTTCATTGATTACTTTTTTCACATGGGAACCAAGTAACTTGACAAGAGAGCATCAATTTCAGAGATGTCTCACTGCAGTCAATTACTATTATCAAGCATAATTTTCCCTTACAAGGGTAAGTAAAGAGAAAAGCTAAGCCTGACACAAAATCTGTCATTAACTCAACATGGTGTTACTGTCAGTGTGATCTGACTTAAAAAGGTAAACGGCACTCTTTCTCTAGCCAGCAAGCTGCCAAAGCCTCACAGAGCTTCTATGAGTATCACAAAACAGTATGTGTGTTTGTTACCATTGTATGGAATTGTTTTTTGGGTTTTAGTAGGCTTTGTGACAGTCTATCCACTTCCTAAACAACTTGCCTCTGGAAACTCTTAAGAACTTTGATAAATGTCCAAATAATGGTACATTTACAGGTATCAAAATTTTGGGTTTCAGTATATCTTTTCAGGGAATATTATTCATCCCATAATATCTCCCTTCCATGTATATTGCTCTTTACATTGCCATGAAGATAGTTACATTTACCTTAAGTTTTTAAAAGGTTTTAATACTCAAACTAATGAACTATAGCATTCATGTTTTTAAAAAAGAGAAGTAGAATGTGTACTCTAATTTTAATACTATTCTAATCCACAGTCAACACTCTTGGCATCAGCAGCCAGGAAATTAAAAGATGTATTGCAATCGGAAAGTCTGCTGTTAGGGACCTCTCCAAAGTACTGAAGAATAATTATGTCAGTCTGGAGACTAAGATGCGTCTGATACAGGCCATGATCTTTGCCATCATTTCCTATGCATCAGAGAGCTGGACAATGACTAGGTAGAAGGAGAATTGATGCCTTTGAGCTGTGGTGCTGAGAAGAGTATTGAATATACCATAGACTGCAAGGAGAACAAACAGGTTCATCCTGGATAGGGTTAAACCAAGCTCCTCCTTGGAGGCAAGGATTTTGAAGCTTCGTCTGACATACTTTGGACATGTTGCAAGGAGGGACAAGTGCTTGGAGAAAAACATCATGCTTGGGACGGTGGAGGGACAGCGCAGGAGAGGAAGACCCTCGATGAGATGGTCACCCTCAGGCACCCTCAGTGACTGGGATAATGGGGGTAGGTGGGTCAGAGACAGTGAGATTGGCACAGGATAGGGCAGGGTTTAAGGCTGTTGTATATAGGGTCGCTGTGTGTCATAGGCAACTCGACAGCACGTAACAGCAACAATATTTTTTTAATTGGTGCCATGGGCTTTTGTATGACAGAGTTGTTTTTATTTTGTGTTATCTCTTGGTTTCATGAAGCACAGCTTACCCTTGTGCTCATTTTGCCTCACCTGTCTCTTCACCTCTGCAGAGCCTACAGGAAGCCAAACACGATCCTATTAAGTGGCCTGATTGTGAAGGAGTTGGCTGTTGACTGACCTCAGTTGTTTGGCTGTGGTCATTTACTGAATTCTTAAAACAAGCAACAGAATGGAAAGAATAATTTCATCTTATTTTCTTTCTTTGCAGGCTCTGTACAATTCAATCAAGAACGAGAAGCTTGAATGGGCAGTGTAAGTGTGCTGGATTCCAGCCTTTTAGTAAATGAACTACTTGTTCTTTTCTTCTAGTCTTCATGCCTTGGAAATGATCCTTGAGAAGGATTAAATATGCATGGCCAGTTCTCATTTTACACCAGCAGTCTTACCTACTTTGTACAAAACCTAAAGTATCTCTTTCTCCCTAAGATCCTGTGTCTCTTCCTCGGTACTCAGCATGTTCCTATTCCATTTATAATCTGATTGTTATGAATGATTATTTTGAATGTATCATCCTAAAACAGTAGCATGCCCTAAAAGTAAATGTGCTGATAAAACTACATAATATTTCAGAATCCAGTACTTACGATTTGGGCATCAATTGTTTATTTTCATGTTCTGATTTTCATCAGTTTAGATCTTTCTTTACCAGCCCTGTTTCCTATAAGACTATAAAAGGATATGGTTAGGTAATATAGAAGATATTATGGATATATAAGCTTTACTAAATTACTGATAAAACTTAAAATAATGCTTTTTAAATGCTGAGAACTTCAAATGCAAGCAATGTGAATCTGTATTATCAATCTCCAAAAGAGAAATGGTTGGTACTGAACATATTTGATAGTAAAAGTTTATTGTGTTATGGTTGAGCAACCCCCATGCTACAAATATTAAACTTACAGACAACGTTTATTTCTTCTTTAATGTTATATAACTTTTTGATGTATTGAATTTATACAGTAGTTTTTATGTATAATCAGTACGTAGTGGTAATTTGTACAAGAAAGCTTTATTTTGGGTCCTGCAAAAGGTAGGAATTGAGAGTTAACACAAAAAACAAATTATTGTTACATCAGCAGATCATTGCACTTAGGAACCTGATTCTAGGGTCAGTCATTTCTGAGTTTGAATTCTAACTCTCTTGTTTACTAGCAAAATCACTTGGCCCAAATGAACCTCTTGGCTATTGTTTGTTTTGTTTTCCCTTATGAAAGGGAACAATTACTAAGCCTCAAGTAACACTGTGAAATGTTCTAAAAAAGTTAGCATAAAGTAAATTATCCCTCTTGTTAGCAAAATTGTAGTTTATAATATAAAGCTCTAATTTCTACTCTTTAAAGTACTAGAGAGTAAGGACTAAAGTGTAACTGACCAAAGCTATGGTACTCTCAGATACTTCATATGTATGTGAAAGTTGAACAGTGAATAAGAAAGAGCAAAGGAAAATTGACACTTCCGAACTGTGATGTTGGTGAAAAATACTAGCATAGTCTGGCCTGCCAAAAAGGTCGACAAATTTCTCTTGAAAGAAGTGCCAGAGCTTCATCTTATAGGCAAAGGTGGTGAGAATTTATCTTAACATGCTTTGGACACATTATCAAGAGGGCCCAGTCCCTGGACATCCTGCTTTCAAAAGTAGAAAGTCTTTGAAAAAGAGGAAGACCTTCAATGAGATGGATAAACACAGTGACTGAAACACAGCTGAAATTTCAAAGATGACCCAAGATCAGGAAGGATTTTGTTTGTTGTACTATGTTGCTGTGTCAGAACTGACTCCTTAACAACAAATTTTCCTGTCATATTTGTCTTTTCCTGTTTATTTCTCTAATACGATTACCTATATATCCATTTCTACCTGTGAAGGGTAAGGTAGTATTATAGTTTATCAATTAATGAACTTTCTTTCCTCACATTTTAAATATCAAGAGTGGATGAATGATCACTTAATCTCCTTTCCAGGCTTTATGTCAGTTTCTGAATCTTAACTCTATGTCAGTGTTTGCCCAGGCTGACTTCCTGAGGAAAGACCACACCAGTGTGTGGAATATATTAAAAAAGGGTTTATAGGTCAATACGAGTTTCTGAATAAATTCTGACAAAATTAAACAGGGTTCAGTAGAATTATAACCTTTAACAATCTAATGTTCATTCTCAATCTCCATGGAAGATAAAAGGCCAAGATTCTAAATGATTTTTAATCAAGTCCAAGTTGGGTTTTCTTTTTTCCTTTTTTTCGTAAAACATTTCTCTACATGTATTAAAACTAGTGTTCTCTAGAATACACTTTTAAAAAACCCTGCTGTTTACTGTCTTATGTGTGATCATTCACATCAGGAACTAAAGGTTCCCCTTAATAAACCTGCAAGCCCTTCTACCATATGGCATAGTATGCCCTGTACTTCTGTTGCTCTCACTATCCTTTTCCTGATTCCTGTGAACTCATTACTGTTGGTACTTGTCAAAGATCAACACTGGGAATTCTTTTATTTCATTGTAATCTCTTTGCTAATAGTCTTATTTATTCTTGCTTTCAACTGCTATCTCTGTTAAGATCTTTTGCAGATGTGAATTTATAACTCTTTCCTTTTTCCCAAGTTTCATTTTTACATTTGGAATATTTCTCTTGACATTGCCGCTCCAGTACATTTTTATTGTCACTTGGCCCTCGTCATCTTTCTCTAAACTTTATCTGATGCCCTCCATTTCTTGTAACAGCACTCGCATTTTCACACCCAACCTTAAATTAAATTTCTACACCATGTGTGTCTCTTCTCATGCCACCATATCCTCTTCTGTGGACATGGCTTCCAGTCCTTTCTATTCACCATTCTCATTGCTCCAATCCAAATGCAAGTATTAACACTTCCCCCGCCCCCAGCAGATTCCTTTTTCTCCAGGCATTCTTTCCCACACTCCTCTTCTAAAGAACTTCAGTTAAGTTCTGCAAATCTTGCTAGTTTGCTAGCAGTCTACTCCAGTCCCCTTTGTTTGTCTGCACACAGGCTCCATTTCCACCAGATGTTCACTACATAAAATTTCCTATGCCTGCCTCATGTCTCGCCTTTGTCAGTGTCCAGAAAGTTACTTCTGCTTAGAATACATATCTTAGCATTCCTTGTGTTCACAGACCCCCTTTTTCTATAAAGCCCAGCTCATGCAAGAGATGTTCCATAGGGAACCAACTCAGTACCATAAGGACAAATATTGTATAAGGCCATTTTTGTAGAACGAATATGAGGATCCAAGTGGGGGGAGGGGAGGGAAGGAGCAGAGGGGTGAGGATGGGCGAGGGGTTGGATGATAAATCATAGGGTCACACAGTTTGATGTGTGGAGAGAGGAGGAGTGGTTGAAGCAAAGAGGAATTACCTCGTGTAAAAAACAATGTATATGAACTACCACCAATGTACATACACATAAGAAACTAATGGGGAGTTATTCCATCATCTTTCCTGATTGTAAAGCCCACTACTGGTCTGACCTTCCATTGGGTTGAGGCTATAAATCTTACCAAGGGAACACTGCCCATATTTATCTTGTGGAAATGCTGATAGATTTGAACTATGGGAGACATCAGGCCTTTGGTTACCGGTACACCATGCTACAGACTGTTACTAGAGCTCATTTTCCTGATCTTACCAACCAGAACTAATCTCAGCATTTAAACTTCCGTTTTACTGTGTCTGATGAAAGCTCCAGTTTCCACTCCTTTCTGAAATTATTTTTGGAACTTTCCCATTAAATTGAAATGTCTTTGAAGAAATAATGCCTATCTGGATATGCCCTTTTATCTCCTCCTCTGCTGAGCATAAGTTACTGCAGACTCCATAAAAGACTATTAAGAAGAACAATAATCGTAATATAAGAAACTATATGTTTCCAAAGTTCTAGTCAATAGTTGTCAATTGTATAGTTTAAAAAGAGAAGAAAAATGTTGAGACTATGAAAATGTGTTAAATGCTTTCTAAAATATCTTTCATTATCTCATGAGATATTTTAGAATTTAGTTTATAGAAATACAATATGTTGTAACTGGAAGGAACTTATTAGTTTTTAATTTACCCCTTTACTCACTGTGCTCCACGGAGTCCTGCATCTCAAGGGTGTTATTGTCTTTCTTCAGGGTTTCCCTGGGGAGTGGGCGGGGGGGGGGAGTAGGCTTCCCTACGGCCAAAGGAGAGGATGATGGGAACCACCTCCCACAAACTTGATGCTCATTTCAAACTACTGAAGGAAGCTTCCACTGTAACCATTTTAAATAATCATTTGGCGTTTCAATGTACATTCCTTTCATTTCTGGATAATCTTAAGGATTTTGCTTGAGTGTGAAATGAGTGATATTGTCCGATAATTTCCACACTCTGTCAGGTGACCTTTTTTTTTTTTTTTAATGAGAATAAATAGGAATCTATTTCAGTCAGTTGTCCAGGCAGTTGTCCTCCAGATTTCTTGACACAACCTAGTTAGCATCTGTTTGTTAAAATGTTATTTGGTATGCCATCAATTCCTGGGGACTTTTCTCCCCCCCTCCCCACGTCCTTCAGAATAGCCTGAACAGAGCAGAGAAATACTGCATATATAATTCAAAATCAGGAAGAGGATACAGAAGGGATGCATCTTGTCTCCATACCTTTTCAGTCTATATGCAGAACAGATCATTCATGTGGCTGAAGCTTTATGCAGAGGAATGTGGCATCAGGATTGGAGACAGACTCATCAACAACCAGCATTGTCCAGATGACCCAACCTTACTTGCCAAAACTGAGGAGAACCTGAAGCACCTGCTGCAGAAGGTCAAGAACTGTAGTCTTCAATATGGATTGAAGCTTAACATCAAGAAGACAAAAGATTCTCACCACTGGACCAATTGGCAGCACTATAATGGATGGAGAAGAGATTGAGCTTATTAATGATTACAACTTGCTCAGCTCCACAGACATCACTCTTGGCACCAGTTGTCAGAAAATAAAAAATTACATTAGGTAAATCCTCTGTCAGAGACTTCTCCAGGTTACTGAGAAGCAACAGTGTCAGTCTAGAGACTGACTAAGGCACACTTATCCAGGCCATGGTCTTTGCAGTTACTTGTTGTGCATCAGAGAGGTGGACAATGACAGAAGAAAAATCGATGCCTTTGGGTTGTGGTGCTGGAGGTTTTAAAAATACGGTGGGCCACCAAGAAAACAAAATAAATCTGTCTTGGAGAGGGTGAAACCAAGTTTCTCCTTGTAGGCTAGGATTTGGAAGCTCCAT